TAGACAGAATGGCACTCCTGTTCAAAAAAATATTATGTGTATATATATATATATATATATATATATATAAACCATCTACAACAGGTGTTTTTTCTCATCCTTCTTCCCACATCCAACTTTAAGGGTGTTTACTAACTTATTAGGGTGTTAAAAATCTCTTTGTGTTTAAAACACTCATTACTACCACAGAGCATTGCCCTACAAGGTACAGTTTTATTAAAACTCAAAGGCTTCCAAGAAATATAAGAAGTGGCTGTGTTACCCTTCAGAGGCTTTATCAGAACTCCTTAGCATTCAGGTCTTCTTTTAAAAACTGAACTACTGTAAGTTCATAATATTTGTGTTACTCCTGATACTTCTTTTTTGTACTTATCTCCATTTGTTAGTAAGATTCAAAATGCTCTGTTCCTGTGTCACCTCATTACGACTTCTTTTCCTTTATCTATGAGTCTCAAATTAACTTGACATAGATGTTTTACATATATTTTAGGCTAAATGTGAAGTATTCCCTCATGCCCATGAGGCATTTGGAAAGTTGATAAGTTCTGCTTTCAAGGACACTCTAAATGAGGTTATTAAAATTCAACACTCTGCATATTCTGATGGAGAAAAACGTTTGTCCCTGACTACAAAGGACATAGGTCAATTCAAGAAAGCTTCTCAATCTTCTCATCCATGGGTACTGAAGGCCTTGTACCAGTATTTGTAAAATCTAAATAAGAAAATGTTACCAGGGAGGGAGAAAAGTGTAGGAGCATAGATTCTGTCCAAAAGTAAAAATCCATAACCATCTGTTGTTTGTGTTGCATGCATTTCGCAACTGTCATCTCCACTGTGCACGCCATTTCATCTTCACAGCAATATCTCTGAAACACCCACTGAGATAAAATCACAAATATTTTGAACATACCATATGATACGTTATTTTCCAAATTAATATTCGACAAAGTCATAATGAGAACTTTTTTAGTTTACTTTTGTGTTGTCACCTGAAAACTCTTTTAATAGTTTGTCACTACCTGATAGTTAAGCTCAAACTTGAACAATTAAAGAAAAAAAAAAAAGAGGAAACTATTAAATGCTGCATTTTTTTGATTGTTGGTATGTTTTCAAAACCAGTAACAACCACTATTTAAAATTCTATAGCACTTTTCTCTTCAAAAAAAGGTTCCCAAATGCTTTTTTAATCATTTACTTGGAAAAATCATCTAGAATTTTGTCACTATCCTTTGGGTGGTTTAAGAAAAGGTACTCAAGTGGTACTTAGTGACACGATTTAGTGAGTAGTATTGGTAGTAGGGAGATGCTTGGACCATATGATCTTGAGGTCTTCTCCAACCTTAATGATTGTATGATTCTAAGACAATCCTACATTTCACAGCTCAGTCTGGCTTGGAGAAATTAACAGCGCTTCAGATAATTTCTACAATGCAACGTCAAACCCACAAAGTAATTTTTGAAAACAAACAAACCAAAACACCACCAACAACCAAAACCAAGCAAACAAATAAAAAACACCAAATACAAATTTGTCCTTGGAAAAATGACAGAAAAAGAGTTAAATAAGTAAACCAACTGCTTTTTCCCTAAGGAAATCTAAAACCCAAGGTCAACTGTGTCTGAAATCAACAGACCTGTCACGCAGCTTTCATGGCTGCCACTAAGGCTCCCATCAAAACTACAATGAAAGCATTAAAAATATTTTGTGTTGTGTTTTTGTTTTGTTTTGTTTTGCTTATTTTTTATTTATTTTTTTTTTGCTGGAAACAGATTGAGCTTTGAAAAGAAGCTCTCTAATCATCTTTGGCTGGTTAATGATGCACAAAGCAAAAGGTGAAGTTTAGAAAAAGAGAATGAACTGAGAGAACTTGATATCAAATATATTTGGTCTTTTTCTTCGGTTCCTTAATGCTTGCATGCATCAGAGCATACATACAGCTCTGTAAGTATACATACATAGTCGATATATATAAGAATACATATATGCACACATATCATATATACCTATGTGTTCATATACATACACAAACACAGGGTACCCTGTCAAGACAGCTCAACTAATTTCATCTTATCCCAGATTATGTCCTCCAGCACAAAAAGTTTGGTGGTCTCAGTCACAGTCCCTTGTGTGTAGGAGTCCATCACAAAACCATCACCCCTAATCTAATACAATTGACAGTCTCTGCTCAAGAGAGGCAGAAGAAGGAGTTGCCATGGAGACTGAACTATTGCTCTTCTCCAGAGGATGCTTCTTTCAAGCACAGGCTGAACAACAGAGGCTGTCCAATATCTGTAACCTTGATCACATTACAGGATCTTGCAGTTTGGGAAGGCTTTTTAGTAAACTCTAACAAATATCCAGGAGACAAGAACAGGGGAGAAAACAGAGAGCTTGAGGGAAAAAAAATAATAAAAACAATAAGAACAAAAAAACAAACAACAACAACAACAACCACAACAAAAAACACCACCGCAACAAGAACTATATGAAAGTACATAATATGGTAGATTGAGAGAGGGAAAAGAGTTTCATATTGACTTGATTTATCAGATTTGTCACCTCTGTTTAGTGCTTTCCTAACAGGGTGAATGCTGTGCTTGACCTATTTGCTGGAATTAACCAGGACTGCAGGAGACCATATGGATTGCCAGATGGTCTGCTATAATTTAATGCCATTTATTCTAAGTATGAAGTAAGTGATAAACATAATTAACATTCTTTTAGCTCCTTACTGGATGCCTTTTATTAGTGTTTTGTTTTGTTTTTTTTTTCCTCAGGAATTGAAAGGTAAGTTAATACCTTGTTATTGAAACACAGATGCCAGCTAATTAACTGCAAGAGGCTGCAGCCTCTAAAGCAAAGAGTGTCGGCACAGACTCTTACTTATTCACTGACCCCACTGTGATGATTAATAGGTTGAATGCTAAGCTCTAATGAGGATGACAGATCTTAGATGTTTTCAAGTTACCTTAATTAATAGCATGATGAACAGAGTGTTCATGCAGACATATCACACTTCATAGTAAACACTACACCCTGTACCATGGTCTTAATGTGTCTTTCACATTACAGCACATCAAATACTAAGGAATCAAACCACCTTCAGACAGTAGAAACAATGCAGTGATTTCCTCCAGAAATGTTTTTCCTGATTCCTATTTCATACTCTGCCAGTGATTGTCTAAATGGCCTATTTTTTAGGAAGTGGTTCTAGAGAAGCTGTGGCTTCAAAGAGTGTTTTATCAGGCAGGATCGTCATTCTCAGCATTTCAAAACCATGAGTCCATAACAAGATATGCAAACAACTTTGCCTACTGTTCCTGTGCTAACAGTCTTCATAGGGACTGGACTAGGTCTTAGCAGAATGAATAGTCAACTATTTTGTAATGTTTAACATCAATGTACAGGTGAAGATATCATGCTGGTACTCAGTAACACTGAAGGAAGTACTAGAGAAAAGGCAGCAGTACTGAATGCTTTGCATTTTACATTAAATGTTGTGTACATTGAACCTGGTATATAAACATGACCACAGCCGAATGATTTGCATCTGTACTGTTATTAAAACTTAGGTGAACTTTGAGATGACAGAAATGGCATAAATTAAATGTTATTCAGAGATTAAAACAAACAAACAGCACCTGTGCTATAAAGCAAATTTGCCCTTAGAAAATTTAGCTATGAATTTAGCTAAAAAATACATAGGGTCCAGACCAAAAGTCATAGCATAAGGTAAGTAGAAGCAAAACACAGCTCTTCATCATCTGTGCTCTTCCCTTCTTCCAGATGGGTCCACACTTGTTCAGGGGCTTCCACAGTTACTCATGTATTCTCTACAGTGCAAATCTACTCAAATGTAGATATGCATCCTTTCGAGAAGCTAATTTAGAGGGGACTTGAACATGACATGCTGTCCATGCCCAGAGCAGCCATGCATACTGCCATGCCTTTGGATTCTTGTAGACAGTCTGTCCAGATGTGCCTGGCAGAGTCCTAGTCAAGGAAGCCTGGGCACATGAAATGCCACAACACAGGGAAACTCATTTCTAGGCTTGCAGTACCCATAAAAGCCAGTCTGGTTTAAGAATGACTTGGTCACACATAGCAAGAACATACATGATCTTGCTCTTTACCCTGCTCTTGAAGGCATTAATTCAAGTTACTCCTTCATTTGGTGAATTTTCTCATGATTGTTGCTGTTCCTATAAATTCCTCCAGGATTCTCCATATGAACAGATATAGGTTAAAAATATCGTAACAGCAAATGTTATTGCTATTGACACCACTTGTCATGTCATCTTTATTGGGTCTCTGCCTCTGTCACCATTTGAAAAAAAAAAAACATTCATTTTTCATTCCATTAACCAAAAAATATTTACCTGCAGTACTTAAGACAACACTGTGCTGGCTGCAGGATCTTTTTTATAGTCAGAGGTGAAAAACAGGTACTTAGAGAAACTCCCATAGCCTGAAATCTCTTCTATGCATACCTACCTCTCTTCCTTGACTGTTAAAGCAACTATGACAAGTGCTAAGATTTAGGAAGGCTGAAATCAGTGATAAAAGAATTACCATGAAAAAATAAGACCATGCATCCTTCAACAGGTTGTTTACTGGACCCGATAATACCATACTTTATTATAGATACCACTTCTGAAAAATATTGGAGTGATGCTTTTCAGTGAGTAAAGACACAGTGCTATTGGCACAATGTTTTCAGTTTCTCTGTATACACTTTTGTACATATGTACATATGCATACATAATATATGCATTTAATAGCCCCATTACTGCAAATGGTCAAATGTTCCAGGTGCTTACCTCAAAACATTTTTATTTTAAAAAGGATATTAGGTAAATTCTTACCTGATCTTAAAAATATTACCTAATAAATTTAGGTAATAATGATAAAATCAGATAGTAATTAACTTCAACTGCTTTAAGATCATAGGGAAAGAAATAGACAAACACAATATTTGCAAATTTCACAAACATCTTACCTCCTGCATACATGACAGCCAACATTATTGATGATATCCAAGCTATTTCACTATATGATGTGTGGAAGATTTCCTGTATTTCTTTGAAGAATACTGTGATGGCTTTGGGGAATGCATAGGAAAATCCAATGGAGATAAAAGCCCCAAAGACCACAACCCATCCCCAGCCTCCATCTGGAGGAGGGTATTGTGGTGCTCCTGTTGCTGGTGGCATTTCTATTCTTTGTCTCTTCTCCACCTAGGCTGAAAAAGAAGAGAAGAGACAAAGTTTCAAACAGTTTTCCTTTTTTATCAAACAGCAGTATTCTGTCATCTTCTGCAGAATCCTCAAAGCTGAGACCTTCCGATTTACATGGGACCACATTGGACCTGTTTTTGGAAGCAAAACCTGTTCTGAAAAACAAACAAACAAAAAATATGTCAAGAATAATTGAAATATCCGATTCAGTATGTTCCACTATTACAAAGGACTGACCTCAGTTACTGAAGTTGTGCTTGCAATTAGTCACTTAGAACATTAGTCACTTAGAAAGCAAATGTGTCTCTATGGGTAAATTTATGTAGCTTTATGCTCTACATTATGCTCTACAGTATGGATTTAGGATAGGTATGAAACAGAAAAAAAAATGAAATCAGATGTACAGGAAACAATGGAAAAAAGTTAGAGTAAATTATTCCTAAATGCTATTTTTTTAGCAACATTTGCAGGTACTTCAGAAAAACTATCAGCAATGACTGCAAGTCATAACACAGTGCTTTGTCATATGCTGCCATTTTCCAATTGTTGACAATTGTTAATTTTTCTCGCTTAACTCATGAGAACATTTAAAAGCATATTTAAAAGAAAAAAAAAAAAAAGAGAGAGAGAGAGACTTAAAATTCCTCATGTATCCGTAAAATAAATGTAAAATATTACAATTCCAAATTGTATTGTTTTTAACGTTTTCATATGTGAATTGGTAGATGTTGCTATTACTTGCAGGAACAAGGTGGTGGTACTCTTTTTGCTGTTTCCACATGTTTAAAGACATCAGGAAGTCTTTCACTAATAAATTTTCAAACTTTCCACAACTATACTCTAATTTAGAGTTTACCATAATAGAGGACAGCAGAGTGATTTTTTGAAGCGGTTCTGAGAGGTGCAATCAAGAAATTCAAGGAGCTCAAGAAATCATAAGTAATTCACATAAAACTCCTAAGGCCTGAAATGAATTTTATACTTAATCACCTTGATACCTAAATACTTAAGATGACTATATTATCCATTACCTTTCTAGAAAACATGTAGTAGCAAGAATCCATTTTGTAGTTCAGAGATTTTTCCAACATAAAAACCCTTTATTACTAAACAGAGTTGGGAGTCTACTGTATTTTCCTCTGTGCAATCCAGCCTACACAGACAGCATGAACCGAAAATTCCTCCTTCCTCTGTGTTCCTTCCTTGGGCATTTAGGTAACTTAGTACTCTTGATTGGTCTCCAACCACACCAGTACAAAAAGCTGTGACTCATAATAGTATGTAGGTTTTTGTTATGCTTATGATTAACAGCGAGTCTCTGTAAGACTTCTATGCCACTTACGCCATATCCCAGTTTCTCACAGCAAACTGCATTAGCAAGTGGGATGATATAATTACCTTAACAAAAAATAAAAAATGAACTGTGCCAGCTTATATTAATCTCTCAGGATAGCGTCTAGAGTACTCTCAGGGTAAATGCTATGTAGTACTGCCTACAACACGACAAAAAAATTGCAAAGTGTTGCTTTTCAGATTATCACAAGGCCACTCCTGTGACAGAAACCTCTGTACTTCTGTTTCTCCAATTTACTGCTTTTCGTTGTAGACATCACCTTCATATTGGCAGACCTCCAAAGGAGCTAAATCAACCACTAAAACATCTGGCTTCTACACAAGGTTGGAGAAGCCCAGGTAATTTGGCTTCTGCATCATATCATACAGATTTGCTGCTGGCAGCAATAGGTATTTGCCACTCTGTACCTAGACTGCATATATATATTTTATATGCACATCTAGAAAGAACCCTTGGCATATACTTTGTTTCCAGTTACCCTGGTCTCAGCTTAGTCCATTGACATGCATCAGTGAGGAAAACCTGGGTCTGCCCCTAGAAGATGGACAAGTAGAGACACTTCTGGTTGCTGAAACTTAACATTGGCAAAGCAGTTTAACACCCATTTGCTGTTGCTGAATCAGGACCCATTGGTAGGAAGAGTATCTCAAAAAAAAAACACTGGACTTGAAAAAACACATAGTAATTGATTGCCACCACAAACACCAAAACACAAATTGGCATGAAAAGCAGAGCCTATTTCTGTAACCTAAGTGGTAGTAAACAACAGAGTTTTCTATCTGTCCCAGAAAGCTGTTGTTCTGCTCATCAGAGAAAACTTTTGGTTATATCCTAAAAAAAAGGTTAACTATTATTTTCTTACACTTCAAAGTTTGAGCATATTTGTTTTCATATTTCATATTCATATGACAACACTTCTATCTTTATTATAAATTTGAGTAATGCAACACTACATCAAGGCATTGCTCCCCATACAAATGGCAAGTGCTTACCAATTTATTGAGGAAGTACTCCTTTTTCTAAAAACAACACACAACTGTTTTGCAAAGTCACTGCCACCACATTGGTCAGAATAACTCCAACGGTTCCTGAGTGTTGTAACAACCCAATGCCCTGATACAGGCTTGGGGAAGAGTGGCTAGAAAGCTGACCAGCAGAAGAGGACCTGATGGTGCTGATCGAAAGCTGGCTGAACATGAGCCAGCAGTGTGCCCAGGCGGCCAAGAAGGCCAAGGGCATCCTGACCTGCATTAGAAATAGCACAGCCAGCAGCACTAGGGAAGTGGTTGTCTACCTGTAAGTGGCACTGGTGAGACAGCACCTTGAATAGTTTTGGGCACCTCACTTTAATAAGGATACTGAGTTGTTCAAACATGTACAGAGAAGAGCAACAAAGAAGCCTTTTGTAAAGACCCCATTATATCTACTTTTCCAGAGGAGCATCACAGACTCTGACAATTCAATGCTTTCCTCCCTTCAAAAGCTTCACAGTAAACTAAGAAGGCACCAGGGAAAAGAGCAAAGGGGCAGTGGCTGTTCCTATGCTTCAGCCTACAGGCAACCTGCTGCAAAGCCAACTGCACTGCCAGCTTCTAGCACTGCTACAGTAAAAGACTGCCTGCTAATGTATGCCAGGTGTTACCCTGCCAGAAAGAGGAGTCTGGATCATCATATCTCACACCTCCTATTTATCCCACAGAGTACAGTTAATAATAGCTTCCCTGATATTTCTTTATGATTGTGATAGTCAACTTAGCAGCAGTTAAAAGGTAAAAAGGAAAAAAAAAAATAAACAAATACATTTACACCAAAAGGAAAAAAGTATTCATTTTGTCAGAAACATTAAGCCCAGCATTTCAAGTATCCTTCTTAGCAGCTAAAGCAGCTTTCTTCTGTAACATTTTCATTTAATGTCCCTGAAACTGAACTTCTAGAGCAGTCTAGCATGTTTACGTCTTCATCTCTTATCTAAGCCTAACTGTAAAGATCTGGATAGTATAGGAAGTATACAAACAAATGCAAAATCCATTAGCAACCAAAACAAAGCAGTGTTTTAGATGAGTGGATGTAGATGCCGAGAAGGTGAGAGACAGAAGAGGGAGGACTGAAGCAGTGACAAGTGAAATGTCTTCCCAGAGCTCTCAGGGCTTATTATGGGCTATGAAGAATAAAAAGACATAGGGTAGAAAATGTAAAAGCAGGCATACGTGAAGATGTTCAAGTGAAGGACATTGCGCCTGAATAACAACAACAAAAGCTGCATCTGAGTAAATAAAGGTCACCAGCAGAATCCATAGTCAGTCACGTGAATTCCACCGTGTGCTCAGGGCTTACACGGGAGCATTGCTCATACCCCTCCTTTTACAGGCAGGTGGTGAGTGAGGGACACTGCCTGCAATCTGTACAGAGTGGAGCAGGGCAACAAGTTACTGAAGTATGTCCCTGGTGAAGCCATCAACCCCTCTTCTCTCTGTCAGGTACAGAAAGGCTACTCAGCCTTTCCATACCCTGAATCAGGCTGTGCACAAGGATCTTGTCCTCTGTATAAATCGCATTTATGAAAGCAGTGAACAAATACATAGCTTACAGTAATAAGAGCTCCATGTGTTTACTAATAAACAGTAGAAAGAGGACAAGAGTACACTTTAAAAACATGTGACGTGCTACACTATTATTATGTGGGTCTCTCATCACAACATTTAATTGGGCAAAAGAGAATTGAATTAAAAAGAGAGAGGTGGAGAGAACAGCAAGGGAAGGAGGAAAGAAAGAGAAAGGAGGAAGAAAAAAAGAAAAAGAAAGGAAGAAGGAAAAATATAAGAAAGGTAAAGGAAGAAGGAAAGGAGGAAGGAATGGAGAGAGACAGAAGCAAGCAAGCAAGTAGCAAGGTCAAACTAAGAGCAAATGCTACAGACAATGCACCTTGACGCAGACTTCATTCAGTCATGATCAACCTGTTCAGACTGCTCTTGTACCAATGCTTTGTTAATATTCTGCAGCTGTCAGCTGCCAGAACCAGCTATCAATACAACTCTTCTCAAAAGGTGTTACATTGTTCTCATGCTTACAGAGACACTGATTTTACTGGGAGTTTTAGTTTTGCATTTCTGCAACATTAGAGCAACCATTTTCTTTTCCATTCCTGTTTTGTCTGCCTTGCCCTCAACATGCCCCATCACTTTAACTCAGCAGATATTTGTCCCAGAGGAAAAGAGGTGATATGAGAAAAATCTGTCCCTAGTTGTAGAGTACAAATATTTGGCATGTGTGTAGGGCATTCCAGCTCCATGTGGTAAGCCAAGGACCGCAAAGATTTACAAATTTGAGCTAATTCAGTCTTGTAATATTCCTGCAGGGTGATTCAGAAGTATCATCCATTTTCAGACATGGGAAACAAATAACAGCAACAGGTTAAATAACTTGACTAAGTCTTGCACCAAATGAATGGCAGAGCTGGGATGTGGACTAATGTCTAAGTAAATTGTCAGTTAAGCCTGAGATGAGAACGCGTGTTTTAAAAGCTCATTAGGTAATAAATGCTGATTGATCGTACAGCTTGATACCTGAGTTGAAAGCACAGGTGTCGTACAGTTTTTGCTTTATAGGTTTGGAGAGTCTGCTGCTCTAGCTAAAACCTAATGAATATTAATT